CAGCCCCTCACTGGGGGATTCTAGGCAGGTGCTCTACCACTGAGCCATACCCAGCCCTCACTAGGGGATTCTAGGCAGGGGCTCTACCACTGAGCCACACCCCAGCCCCTCACTGGAAGATTCTAGCAGGTGTTCTACTGATTATCTGTATTCCAAAATCTTTTATGCTTTATAAAAATTTTAAGACTATGTTGCCTAGGTTGATTATCAGCTCAGTAATGTATTCAGGCCTTTAACTTGCGATCCTCCTTCCTCAGTTTCTCTTGTTCCTGGAGTCTTCCGTAGGCCTCTCCTAGGTCTTATTCCCTTGGTATGGCTAATGAATGTTTGATATGGAATCAGAATGGTGTGTAGGTATCAAGAGAACTATTTTAAGGAGGAATATGCTCTCACTAACAAATACTATGAGGTCAGGGAGCAGAAACTGGATCCGACCAGGAGAAAACATTGACTAGTTTTGCTTGAGTGATTTGGTGTGAGGGATCAAGCACAGGTATTGCACACAACTTGAACTTAACATATCACAGATATGGGGTAAGGGAGTATGTCAATTTCTCAAAAAGATGAACAAAGCCATTGAAGGTTAATACACAGTGTCAGTCCGCATCCTGATTGAAGAATGACCTCACGTAAAAATAAAAACAGTCTGGGCTGGAGAGATAGGCCATCGGGTAAAAGCATTTTCTGGCAGGCCTGACAACCTGAGTTCCATCCCTGGGAGTTCCAGGATGGGAGGAGAGAATCAGTTTCATAGGTTTCCTCTGACTTCAAATACACATTATCATGTGTGCATGTCACCTCTAAAAAAATTAAATATAATTAAAAATTTTAAATCAGGGTTGGAGAGATGGCTCAGCAGTAATAAGCACTGGCCACTCTTCCAGGGGACCTGAGTTCAATTTCCAGGGCCCTCATGGTGGCTCATAACCTTCTGTAACTACAGTTCTAGGGGATCTGATGCCCTCTTCTAGCCTCTGAGGCCTGAGGTACAAGCATGGTGCATAGATGTGCATACAGTGGAAACATCCATAGACATAAAGGAAATAAATTTTTAAAAAAATCAAACACTTTAAGATGGGCTGTGTATCTCCACCCTATTCACCTACTGCCTGGGACCAGCTAACTTCACAATGGACCGCTCAGACCTCCTTACAATGATGTCTGTAGACACATTTATAATAAAAACAGAAGTGATTACATTTAACACCACAGGGAGGAAGTGAAAAAAGCAGAATATTAACTTGTTTGCATCATCAGATCTCACCTACATGAAGTCGACACTTAAAAGGAAGAAAGTTTGAATGAATTCATCTCTGGTTAGTGTGTGTTTTTACAGTTATATTTGCTTTTTGATATGTCTCCATTTCCTTACAAAGAATATTTATTACTTTAATATCAGAAAACAATTATTAGTCTGGAAGAAATAGAGAATGTTTTAATCAAATTTGAACAGATGTTAAATGAGATTAACGCCATGAATCTTGAAGAACTAAACTTGAAGTGAAAAAAAATGCTTCTAAGGTCAAGAGAACATTCTGTGACGGTGAAAACTATGGTGACCAACAGAAGGCCCACGGGTACAGACTTGCAACTAAACAACACCTAAAAACAGACACTATTCGGGAGCCATGACAAAGAAGCAGTCATTGTGGGAGATTTGAAAATATCATTATCTCAGATTCTTAACACACATTCAGCTCAGGGTTTATCTAAGCAAGCACACACACAACTGATGCTCAGCTGGAATTTTAGCATTGTTATTATAGCGTGTGGGGTTATTAAATATACGGCATCTACATAACAGCTGATATGAAGAATGTCTCAGTAGAACAAACACAACAGAGAGGGCACTGAATTCTGTGAAAGGAAAAATGTGTTTGTAGAGTGGAGAAAATATGGAGACTAGAAGCCAGAAATGATAAGAAAGAAATGGTATTCATATAGTCAACTCTGGTCCTCTGGGTCACTGAGGCCAATAAAGGTTAATAAACAGGACTTAACCTTATTGTCTGACTCAATCAAACACTTCTCTCCTTTCTTTATTTTCTAGTAATGATTATTTGTTAGTACAAAAATTTATTTTGTTTTTTTTTTAATTATGTGCATGTCTGCATGTGGGTATGTGCACATGAGTGCAGGTGCATATAAAGGCCAGAAGAGGGCATCAGATCCCCTGGAACTGAGCTCAAGACCTCCGGAAAAGCAGCAAGTGCTCTTTACCACTACGCCATTATACCAGCACTTCCACTAGCTTTATCTAGGCCCGAGACACCCTAAGCAGCACCTTTAGAACCAGGCACAAGAACTGGTTATTTCATCCAGGGATTCTAAAATGTGATCTCTGCACCCTCACTCACAAAATTACCACCACGACCATGAGACATAAAGTTTCCTATACTGGTTATACTGGCATATGCCTGTCATCCCAAGACTTGGGAGGCAGAAGCAGGAGGATCAGTGGTTCAAGGTCATCCTCAGCGACATAGTTTGAGGAAAGCCTGGGCTACAGGAGACCTTGTCAAGAAAGGAAGGAAGGAAAGAAGGAAGGGAGGGAGGGAGGGAGGAAGGGAGGGAGGGAGGAAGAGGGAGGGAAGAAGGGAATGAGGGAAGGAAAAAGAGAGGGAGGGAGGGAAGAAAAGGGTAAAAGGAAAAAAAAGTATAGTACTAAAATCTAGTCAGTGATAACTCATATGCACTGAATGATAACCCAGAGGAAACAGATTACTGAGCCCAGGAGCACGGCTCACCAATTCTTTGGGGATCATCCAGCACTTCTGAAGTGTTCCTGAGGGAAACTCCCTGATTCTAGGCTGATCCAGACCCGGTCTCCTGGAGATCAGGCTACAAAAAAGACCAAAGAGAGCTCATCTTCTTTCAAACCCTAGAGCACCTTGTGGGGTAATCTCTCTACTCAGCGCAAGAGGCTTAGGTACCCCTAATCCTATGAACACTTGGAAGATTAGCCTCCTGGGCCTTCAGCAGGCTTGCTCTGCACTTGTCACGTCTGTCCTGAGCTCAGAGGGATTTCTCCCTGTGGTGAGCACATTGTGAGCAGATACAAGAGCTTGATTATCAGTGTCTACGTCTACACACCTGGCCAATGTACTTTTGTATGATGTCTCAGGACATCCTAGGAGTTTTGTAATCATACCAAAATTCCTGCTTGCCTTCTATTTTAATTGACACACTGTCTCTAGGTGCGCTGAATTCAAAAGATCTTTTGACCTGACACGGCTCATTTTCAGCTGCAACCGTTTTAGGCTTAGTGACCCAATAGGGGATTTCTAAAACAAAATGTGTTCTTAACACACACACACACACACACACACACACACACACAGAGTCACACACACACACAGAGTCACACACACACAGTCACACAGAACCACACACACAGTCACACAGAATCACACAGACATACATACAGACACACTCACAGTCATACAGAACCACACACACACACAGTCACACAGACACACACACAGGCACACACACACACATACATGGGGTAGGGGCTGTTCAGGCCAGAGATAAATGCTACGGTGGAGTGTCTTCAACCTTCACCTTTTCATTTTGCGACCCCACCTTTCACTGAACTGGAAGCTCACCGATTCAGCTAGGCTAACTGGTCAGTAAGCTCCAGGCCTTCTCCTGCCTCCACCAGCCCTGGGATTATGGGTGCACACCACCAAGCCTCACATACAGGCAGAATCTAGGGATCAAACTCAGGTCTTCAACTTTTCACAGCAAACACGGAACCATCTCACCAGTTCTAAGGACAATTTTGTTGTTGGAAAAGGGGGAGTCGGAAGAATTTAGACCTTCCTCTCTGTGTTCTTTTGGTGACGTGAAAGGTAAACTAATAGATCCAAGCTGAGGGACTCACTCTTGTTTGGTTGGTTTTCTTTTGTTCTTTTGGTAAGGTTTCACTATGTAGTCCAGGCTGAGAAAAACTTGCCATTTAGCCCAGCTTAGTCTAAAACACATGATCCTCCCCCCTCAGCCTCCCAGTGCTAGGATTAGAGGTATCATGGGCCATCATGATCAACTCCAGTAACTTTATTTATCCATTTATTTAATTTTTCATGTGTGTGTGTACACTTGTTGTATGTGCACAAATGCACTTGCACTCATATGTGGATGTGTGTGGAGGCCATAGGACAACCTCGGGTATCATTCCTCAGGAGCTGGACACTGTTTTTTGAGATAGGGTCTCTTACTGCCTTAGCGCGCACTGATTGGGTGAGGCTGGGTGGACACTGAGCCCCAGAGACCTTCCTGTCACTGCCCCGGCAATGCTAGCACCATAAGCTCATGTCATCATGCCACACATGGCTTTTTAAAGACACGGACTCTGAGAACTCAAAATAAAGTCTTCACACTTGTGGGGAAGGCACTCTATCTACTAATATTTCTCCCCGGTGGACATCGACCTAGTAATTTTATAAGAGCCTGTTCTAGCTCCATGTTGTTGTTGCTGCTATGATAAAACACCTTAAAGACCAAAAAAGCAATTTAGAAGAAGAAAGTTTATTTAGCTTACTATTCAAGATTAGAGGACTAGTCACACCCTACCCGCAGTCAAGAGAGGAAGCAGATGGACCTTGTTCGATTGTTTTCATTTGACCTTTTTTCCTGGCTCATATAGTTCAGGATCCCTTTCTTAGGGAATGGTGCCACCCACAATGGGCTGGTCCCTCCTAATTAACTAACAATCAAGACAATCCCTCATTGATATACCCATGCGCCAACCTGTTCTAGATAATAGGCTCTCTTCCCAGGTAATTCTAGGTTGTACCAAGCAGACAGTTAAAACCAGCAAGCACAGATCCACTGAGGGCCCAAACAGTCGTGTACCCATATTTGCCAAGACTCTCCCTTCCTCCCATATGCTCCAGGGAGCAAGAGACATGGACACCAGCATGGTTCCCTTGGGAACCGAAGTGGCATTTCTTTCCTGCTGGCAGGGAGTCCTGCAGGCAGACCGTCCTCCCCCGTACCTTCGTCGCTGTTGTCATCCACCAGGATGATCTCTTTCAGCAGGTGTGTGGGTGTGTGGTTGACAGCGCTGTGGACTGACCGCAGGATCACAGACAGGGCCTCATTCACGAAGATGAAGATGATGGATATCTGGGGCAACTCCTTGGAGTATTTGAGCTCCTTGCACCTGGGGAAGGGAGAACAGGAAGGCTGTCAGAGAAAGCAGGCCAGCACTCGAGAGGCTGGAGAGATGGATGGCTCAGAGGTTAAAGGCACTGCTCTTGCTGAGGACCAAGGTTCTGGTTCCCAGAACCACACGGAGCTACTCCCAAGTGCCTGCAACTCCAGTTCAAGGGGGGATCTGATGCCATCTCTTAGTTGCCATGGACACCTGCATTCATGTGGCTCACATGCAGGCCCTCAGGAACACAAACACATACATATGAAATGAAACTTTTAAAAAAATTAATAGAAAAAGAATGCACACAAGATGTGGCTGAACACAGAAGATTTTAGCCAATTTCTCACCAGGTTTTGACCAGGCAAGAAACTATCACTCTCCCTCAGCGCCCTGTCTGTCTGTCTGCCTGTCTGCCTGTCTGTCTGTTTCTCTCTTCAACAAGGCCTCTGGTATCCCAGGCTGGCCTCAGACTCACCGCAGAGCCGAGGATAACATTGCATTACTGGTCTTCCTCCTGTCTTCTCTCCCTGGTGCCATGACGACAGCTGTGTACCACCAGACCTAGAGTATATGTTGTAGGGGCGCAGCTAGGGCTCGGTGTACAGTTAGAGCACTTTACCAACTGTGCTATGTGCCTGGCCTTCCTTTAGTCTGCTTTTCTAAGAATTGTGAAATAAACCCAAGCAATAAAGAGTTAAAAGATCCAGCCTACAACATCCAAATTTATCACCCCAAAGGAAAAAGAAAATACCTATATTGGGAATACATCCACCTATACCCACCTGCACCACATCCATGCTTCTGTGCTATTATAGCTGGAATCTGAATGTCCCCACAGACTTTTTTTTTTAATGTCTTGAGAGACTTATTTAAAAAAAAACAAACACACAGTTGGGGGTAGATGGCTTAATTGGTAAAGTTCTTGCCATGCAGACATGAGGACCTGACTCCAATCTCCAGAATCCACATAAAGAAAAAAAAAAGTTTGGTGTGGTGGTCCATGCTTGTAATCCCAGTGCTGGGGAGGTGGAGGCAGGAAGTTCCCTGGGGTTCACCGACTATTCAAACTACCTACTTGATGAGCTCCAGGTAGTAAGAAACTGTGTTTGAAAAACAAACTAACTGACTAACTGAGGGCGGGAAGGTGCTCGCTTGCAGTACAAGCCTGAGGACTAGAATCCATGTAAATGCCTGCTGGACATGGGAGTGCACCTGTAATTCCAGGCACAAATGGCAAAGACAGAGAATCCCCAGAGTAAGTGGGCAAGAGAGACTAGCTGAATCGGCAAGCTCTGGGATTGATTGAGAGACCCTGCCTCAGTGAGTAAGGTGGAAGAGTGAGGGAGGATGATTCCTGACATCAGGCCTCCACACAGATGCACGTGCATGTGCAACCATACATACACACATGAACACACACACACATCCGATTATGTACACACACACACACACACACACAAGTATACCCTATACACACCGGAGCGATGGCTCAATAGCATTGGCTGCTCCTACAGAAGAGCCAGGTTCGATTACCAGCACCCGCATGTGAATTTAGAACTGTCTGTAGCTCTATTTCTATAGAATCTGAACCCTCTCTGGTCTTCATGAGCTTCAGGCACGCATGTGGTGCACAGACATCCATGCAGACAAAAACATGTACTCACATAATGAAACTTTAAAATTAAATAGGAAATAAAATAAACAAGACAGACAAAACCCTAGAAATAATAGCGGAGGTTGTTGTTCTCTGGCCTCTACTTGCACATGTGAATGCACACACGCACGCACACACACACACGTACATGCACACAAGGAGTACAAAGATCCAACTCATCACGCCTCTGGGAGATGGCACGGGGCATAGAAGGAAGAGTGAAGGACATGAACACAGGAAATAAGATGGAGGGATGGAGTAGGAGGGACACGCCAGGGAGAGAGGGCGAGCTACGTCTGTTTCTTTATGCCGAACAGCTTGGGCTGTGTCAGGCCGCATGAATCACACTGGCAATTTTCAGAAGAAAATAAAGTTTTCTTACGATATACATCCCTGCCTCCTGAGGAGAATGTTCAGGGATTCATGGATCACACGGTCTTATTTTTGCTATGGCTCCATAAATCCACTGCTGAGGGACGCAGGAGGGATACGAATGGCCATTCATTGATAGGCTCATGAGCTGTTGGCAGAAGCCATCTCATTGACTGGGTGGTGATCCAAAGAATGAGGGCCTCTCAGGACTTCTTCTTGCATGCTCAGCCTGGGAGTCTTGCAGCTGCTCCATCTCAGCCCATTACCCTCCATCCTGAAGATGAGAGCCCACGGAGCTCATGCCTAGCTGCTCTGCACGCTCGCTTCTTTGGTCCTGTTTGACTTCATTTTTAATTTTTCTATTAATTTTGATTCAGGGTCTCCTGCCACTCAGGGTGGCCAGAGTTGACCTTGAATGTTTGACCTTCCCGCCTCTACCTCTCAAGCGCTAGGATTAGAGGTGTGCACAGCCACAGCTAGTTTGTGTAGTGCTGGGAATGATACCCAGGGCTTTGGGCATGCTGGGCAAGCATTCTACCAACCGAGCCACGTCCCCAGTGCTGGTCTCTTAGTTTAACAACCTCCAGTCCTTGCAGGCAAGAAGGAAAGACAGAGCACTCTGTATTGAGCCGTCTCTACCCATGAGCAGTGGAGTCTGGTTGTTCTCCAGTATGGAGTTCATTGATATCAACTTGATTGGATCTGGGATCAACTAAGAGACATCCTGCTGGGCAGATGCTTCCCTGGATCTGGCTTCCCCTTCTACAGCAGCCCGGATATAGAGAACTCCGATGGGAAAGCATCACTGTTTGCCTTCCTTCACGCCTTGCTAGCAAGTGCATCTGTGCCGGGCCACTGTGGCAGCAGCCACCCTTCTCTGACGTCAGCTTCTTCAACCTTCTAATGTGGCTTTCTAGGAGTCCCCCAGGCCTTCACCATTCAGACTACAGAGACATGGAGTCTCATGGTCTGAGCAGTTACCATTTCCTAGGTAGGGAGACCCAGACATATAAGAGAGGAGAAAGCCAACAGAGATCAAGTAAGCAAGCAAAGATCATGTATTCATTCTCTCACTGCTCTTGACTGCGAATGCGATGACTTAAGTCCCTACAGCAATGGGCTGTAACCCTTTCCTCCCCCGAGTTGCTTTTGGCCAGGGTGTTTTATCTCAGCAACAGAAAGGGAACTAGAGGTGATGTTATATCTAAGACACTAGCATGAGGAATGGAAAACACTTCACACAAATAGCAAACAGCCCAGAAGCCATCCTGGAGTGTGCCAGGCGTAACTTGTACCAACACGGTCTCAGATCTCGTCTCCAAAACAATGTATCTCCTTTCCATAACTAGTCAGTTCTCAATAATCAGTCCTTTACGTAAACAGAGATGGTTGGTAGGGAAGGGATCTGCACTAGTTATCTCTCTATGGCTGTGGTAAAGCATCATGACCAAGGCAACTCGGAAAACAAAGAGTTTACTTTAGGCTTATGGTTCCAGAGAATTAGAATCCATGTTGGCACATCAGAGGTAGCGGGCAGAGGAGGCTGGAGCAGAGAGCTGAGAGAGCGCACAAAACAGCAAGTGGAGAGAGCTGGAAATACATGAGCCTTTGAAACCTCAAAACTTACCCTCAGTGACATCCTGCTTTCAGGAAGGCCACTCTTCTTGAGCCTTCCCTAATAGCCACCAACTGGGGATCAAATGTTTACATGTTGGAGACTTAAGGGGGACATCTTATTCAAATCATCACAGAGTCTTAAGTGGGGGGGGGTCAATTTTTTTCTTTTTATTAAGCTCTAGATTTTTCTCTGTTCCCCTCCCTGCCTCTCCCCTCCCCTTCAACCCTCTCCCAAGGTCCCCATGCTCTCAATTTACTCAGGAGGTCTTCTCTTTTTGTATTTCCCATGTAGATTAGATCTATGTAAGTCTCTCTTAGGTTCCTCGTTGTTGTCTAGATTCTCTGGGATTGTGATTTGTAGGCTGATTTTCTTTGCTTTATGTTTAAAAACCACTTGTGAGTGAGTACATGTGTGTGTGTGGGGGGTCAATTTTAATCCATGCCCAAGACCTAATGGAGGACCCAGAGAAAGTAAAAACTAAGTTTCTCTTCTCCAAAAACTGGGGGACTCCTGGGTGGAATAGATTACCAATGAGGCTGGGGAAGGAAACTAAAGGGAAGATAAAGGGCACAGAAGGAAGCAAGAGAAGATGTGGAAGAATATAACGAAATGCTGTCCTCTGGAGATGGCCATGGCACTCACGAACTCATGGAAGCTGTGGCTCCCTGTACAAGATCAAGGTGGGAAAGATCCCAGCATGGACTGGGGAGGAGCTCCCAAGTTCCCGCCCCTCCCTGAGGACCTACAGGCTTGCTGGAGGGAGAGACATTCTCTTTGGTAGTGTAGACACTGGTAGGTTTCCTAAGCCCCTATAAAAACCCCTCACCATGCACAAGGAACAGGACCAATTAAATTCAGCAGATCACAAAAAAGCTAAACAAACAAACAAGACATGAAAATAGGAGATGGATTTGTGGGGGTGGGAAGAGGCAGGGATCAGCGGGATTGGGGGTGAAATGAGAAAAGACAATGGGGTCAGTCAATAAAGGACATTATACATGTGTACGGAATTATCGGACAACAGTAGCAATGGAAGTACTTGGTGACAGGCTCCTGAAACAGTGCACATTCATTGCCCCTGTCCATTCTGGTTGTGACCCTAGGATGTAACCATCAACTCTGCTAACCATCACCATCTCCTTCCCCTCTTCCCAAGGGAGCCACCAGACTTGGTTCACCTGATACCAAAAATGCCCAGAGTCATATCACTGATGGTGACCTAGACATAGACTCTCCTTTGAGAGATCACCAGGGCAAACCACAGGAGAAATGGAAGAAAATAGAGTCCTCTAGTGAATTTTGAGCTTCTTGTTGCAAGACGGAAGACGTTCTAGAGACAAGTGGTGGCCTTGCTTCAAAACA